TTGAGCGGTTGGAGGTGTAGGCACCTCAGTATGCTTGACATAGGCCAGCACTAGGTCCCCTCCCTCACCCACTCTTTTTCTTTTCTCTTCACTGTAGGGGTTTTAATACAATTATATACATATATATATATAACTAAACGAACTTTATGGTTGTAAGTGAGTGAAGCATCAGTGCCAACACTGATGTTGCTGTCATCGACGATGATGATGATGATGATGTGCTTCTCCGTGGACGACATATTGTCATTAATGATGATGATGATGATGATGTGCTTCTCCGTGGACGACATACAAATTGTCATTAAAGCTGCCAAACTTGTCCACCTTGTTCGCCCAGACACGCTTCCCATACCGGAAATAACTGAGTGCAAGACTTCAGTGCCCGTTGTAGGTATCATGGCTGTACATGGGCTGGGAACTGCCACGGGTTCGCCCAGACACGCTTCCCATACCGGAAATAACTGAGTGCAAGACTTCAGTGCCCGTTGTAGGTATCATGGCTGTACATGGGCTGGGATACTGCCACGGCACCCTGATCTAGACAGGAAAACGATCAAGGTTCCCAACCAAAGCATTTGGATCAAAAGTTTGACCACAAGGCAGCGCCGTTTGGCAGCAAATTATTACAGAAGTCGCCACATATGTTCCAAACCCCAACCTGGAGGTGCAGAAGACTGTGTTGGTCAGACTTCCGCACACCAACGAGCCCAGTGGAGCCACTTTGCGAGAGTCGCACAGACACCACCCTCAGTATAGCTGGTCATGGAGGAACACAAACTGCAACACCATTGTAAGGTTCAGTTCCTTCGTGACGGTAGATAATAAAAGAATTTCCGACGCAGTCGTCCTAACATGTCCCTTGCCACTAAAACTACAGTCTGCATCCACGACCTTGCGATATTTCACAACATTCACCAGCTGTTCGGGCATTTTTCAAAAGACAGTTGGATGGAGAAACAGTGCAGTAATATGAAGACCTGAGAGTTGAAATTGTTTTACCTTCATGCATTCACGTTGGACCTCTGATCCTGAATGCAATGAAGTTCACGAAGGGTTACCTTGGTGGACCTAATTAATCCATGCTAGGAAAGGCATGGATGGGTCCTAGATACCAAACATTGTTATCAGAGGGTGTAACGTTCGGTGAACGTTTGTTGATTCCTTCACACCTACCGACACTTCATGACTCTCATTCCACATTTCAGACACTACTTGGAGTATAAACACCTGTATTTTCCTTGATATTTGCGTCGGATCTGCTCAAAGACCTGTGGTACAATCTTGAATGTACGTTCGTATTGAATCATTGCTATATATTAGCCATTGACACTTCTATTCAATCAATAACCGTTGTTTATTTGTTGTTATTACAGAACCATACCGAATACAACGACAGTCTTCTCGACTTAACAAAAGACTTCGGGTGCATATACTCAAATAGTACCTCAGCCGCATATCTTGCATCAATCACCTAGGTTCAAAGTGAAACCTAAAGAGGGTGTGATTGAGAAAGATCAACCTAGTAGTCCGTTCAACCAACCTTTAGATGCATATAGAAAAACAGTAATGAGATGGTTCAGCTAAGTCATTCCGAAATCAGAAAAACAAAACTGGCTACCTGCTTTACCGTATCGTTGCCAAAGCAACCAGACATGACGTAGCAGCGGTGGCGGACAGTGAAGCTATGGCGCTCAGACCGTTTACGCGGCCCATTATGCGGTAACCGCCGAGGTGTGATTGGCGCAAACCTCGTCGCCAAAAATAGGCAGCTACGTGGAGACGACGTATCACTGCATAGCAGAATGCTTTGGGAAAACAATATTATCAGGAAATGCGTTAGTATTACATGCGCAATACTGACTTACGCTTGACGGGTTCCCCTAAAATGTCGGATGGTGTGCGAGTGGGACAGAGCAGTAGATCAATCACAGACAAGGCATTTTCGTAGTAAGGCTCGGACTATGGAAGAGAAAGCGAGATGAATTTCAGTGAGATATCAGCGTGCAGCCTAGAGAATCTGTGGGAATAATGGCTAGAAGAATGCACGACGTATCAAAATAATAGAGACATTTTCCTAGAGATATGTTGTGCAGATCACTAAACAGGTGTGGTCGTGGAACCTCCAGGTCAGAGCGCCCCTCAGAGTTTTTCACGGCTAAAGCACAGTGTGAGTTTGTTACAGATGCCAGCGAGCAAACAGATGATGGAATATGGTCTAAGATACTATTATCGAGTACAATTCAACGACCACATACTGACTGCCCACCCTGATTGTGCCGGTAACAATGTCGCGTTTGGTGATGGTTTGGACAACATCGAGTGAGCATACAGCCGCATTAACTACCGCAATGTTGTGGTACGAGGAATAACAGTGATAAAGTGAAGGATTTATTGAACGCGATCAAAACGGAACTATCACAGATGATGCCACCGATCGCGCTGTCCAAAGAGACAGCTCATCTTCGCACGGTAGCCGGAAACGGACTCAGGAATAACCAGTCTTTATAAAAAAATCCGTCTACGACGGAAGAACCGTTCGGTGAGTCCTGCTCATGTGTTAGTCAAAACTAATCTGTATTGAAACGGATTTCGCATTACTTAAATTTGTAGAGAAAAAAATAGAGTAGCGAAAGTTCATCCCAAATTATCCTTGATCATCGCGGTTTACCAGTAGCACTCTTTCAGCGCCTAACAGCCATGCCACCCGAGGGAAGCACGCGGGCTGGGATACTGCCAGGTCGCCCAAGCCTAGACAGGGGAAGTCGAGATGCAGGGGTCAGGTTCGAACGACGGACCTTCTAGTCAGTAAGTTCGTGCTCTAACCACAGAGACATCCCGCCCCTTGCTCGTGCACCTGATTAAACAAGGTCTTCGAGCCTGAATAATGTTGACATTCGCGCATGAATAATGAACAGCACACAGTAAAAGGTCACCGTGTGGATGCTATATCAGATTACACATTTGACACGAAGTATTCGCTTGCATTCAGAGGGCATTTAGTATCAGGCAAAGGAAAACAAGCATCCATCCGCATTTGAAGGCTTTGAAGGCCAACGTGAATTTGTTAATCTAACTAAACTAACAATACAACAAAACGCGTCCTCACTTTAGTTTCGTTCTTCCGTTTCATTGCTTTAAAACGGCTGAGGAGCTGTCTGAGAACAAAGTACGTACCATCCAGAAATGCTGTCAATGACGTTAACTCATGCAGTTCGGTCGGACCCACTCGCTCATGACCTATGAGGCAGTTATCCACGATGAGCTGAGAAAAATCAGAAAAATAAACAAACGGGATATGCTTAGTACGTCAACACATTATAGTAGGACAACAAGCAAGTGTAATGTGGAACGGAATAGCTAACGACATAAAAAATGGTTGAAAGGACAGACTGTTTACGTGTAAATTAGCTCGCATAGCGGTTGATATATTGTTTGTGGAAAAGAGAAAGAACTTGACATACATCCCACGATGAATAACAATCGTGTGATGATTGGTGTTTGTAGCGACGGCCCAAAAAAGCACACAGCGTTGTCCACTGCACGGAACCGGTAAGGTGATCACCTATTAAGTGATAAAACGTTGATACTTTTTTTTAGCTTGTAGTGGTAGCCAATGAGAATCCGAATCGTCTACAGGAATTCGATCGACACGTTTGGTTGCATCCTGCAACACACGCTCACGATTGGCACTCAACCGTCAGAACATATAGAATTTTTTCCACTGCTTCACATATGACCAGGTTCATTTTCTGAGGGAGGGGAAATGGTGGATAGCTCCGGTTGGAAATGAGCTGCCCGAAATGAGACACTTTATGTGGCATCTGGCCGACATGAAAAGACGATAGTGAATGTGAAGTGGGGTTACAGTTGGAATTCGGACGCGGCCCGTAACGTGAAGATAGTCAGGCCGGCAGTGAATGAATCTTCATTCAGTTACTTAAGCATCAAACACTGTCTAGATGCCACTACAGGTTTCAAAGAGTTAGTAATATGCGATCTGAATGAAAAACTGGGGTTCAAACCATTTCGAAAACCTACTCCAACTGATTCGAAAGACACATTTCCTTTCAATCGCTCCACGCAAGTCATTTTTAGTAATTGCTCTGAAAGGAAACAAGAGGCAAGTGCAAACCACTCGGACAAGCTGCAATGAATGGAAGAAAAACCAGAGTCACGAGAACAGACTGTATTGAAGTAGGCATTAAAATACATAGAAAAATAAGGGAATCGATCGAGACACAGAAGACAACCTTGGTCAATCTCGTTGTAGCTAGGAGAGAGAACACATATGGGGTTCACCAATAACAAATGTAACTCCGATTTCCGAACAGTTCCGGCTCGGTCATTGAGTACAGATTGAAACCCCATAGCACAATCCCTCCAACGTGTGCGCCGATGGCCAATAGTTGCCCCAACAAACCCCACCTATATTTCGCACGCTCGATGGCCCCCATCGGGTCCGGAAGGCCCATGAAATTGCACAGCGAATGAGCGACAACAGCCGATAAGATGTTCCCTGAAAGGACAGGAAGGAGAAGAAATATCGTTATTCACCCTAGTTACAGTTACACGATAGCGCTAAGCTAGACGGTCTCTTTTCTGTGCTTACATAACAGATGCGGTAATAGCTCGCACCTGAAGATGAACCACCACAGAAAAGGACTCCATGAGCTCTCCCAAGAAACATCCTCCCTTCATATGGCCTAGCGAGAGCTGTCACTCCTCACAGGAGCTTTGGTGCGCTATTGTGTTCAAAAAGGAACAATAATACAAACTAATCGAGAAGACCCAAACACAGCTAACATGAACAGTGCTGTCCCTGGGTAACGATTCATTAATAATTAGTAGTATAGTGGGTGTCCAGTTGGTATGAAGCGAATGAAGGGAAACTAGAGAGGAAAAGGTCAGGTAAACAGCACAAACCTTGTGAGCCGATAAACTCATTTAAGACTACCATCAGCAAGCCAAAGGTGTTTGCAAGAGTCCACAAAGTCATAACACTGGAGATTTCAGTTGGCAGAGACGTGAGAAAGACAAAAGTAATGACAGAATTCTAAGATGATATGGATATATTGTTTGGATTCGACAAAGGTATGGCGGAATGACTTGGAAAGTAAGAAGTCGGTATTTTTGCGTAGAAGAGATCGGCCCTGGAAGAACCCGTCAACACCAGACCACGTAACATGGACTGGGCAGTTGAAGGACAGTGGCATTTCAAGCAACTGGGTGTTTTGAACCCTGTTGACCTACGAAATCGTTCGAGGTAGTTGCGCGAGTCCACAATACCAGTGTGAAAAACTTTAAAGAGGTTGGTGAGAGTGTCCCGACAGCCAAGCTTTCGTAGGACGATCTAAAGAGCTTCTCTGTTGGCTTTGATAAAGCTCAATAATAGACCATAAAGCGGTTGACTGCGTTCAAGACATTCCCCTTGGATTTATCTTGTGGCAAAAATTGAGTCCATCGTACTTCGACCACTTTGACATATATATATATA